TCTTTGGACTGTGGGAGGAAGCCGGAGAACCTGGAGAGAACCATACGGAGATCACATTTTAGAATATTTCTGAGATGATAAAAAGTGAAAAACATTCCCGTTTTTATTCAGCCATAAAAGGAAACGGTTCATTCAGTTCAATTCAGCTGCTTTTCTTGTTTCTCCCAGAAACTAAACATGAATGTGTAGAAAACGCTGAAGTGAGCATCAGCAGTGACAGATGTTCCTCTGATGTTCCTCTGATGTTCCTCTGATGTTCCTCTGCAGTGTCTCTGCAAGACATCAACATGCGTAAAGCCTTCAGGAGCAGCAACTTCCAGGACCAGCAGGTGGTGTCTCGGAGCTCCATCCTCAACCCTGTTTTGGAAATGTACCAACGCTGCGACAAACCACCGCCCCTTAACATCCTGACACCTTACAGGTCAGTTTAAACCCCGCCCCTTAACATCCTGACACCTTACAGGTCAGTTTAAACCCCGCCCCTTAACATCCTGACACCTTACAGGTCAGTTTAAACCCCGCCCCCAAACACACTGATGCCCTATAGGTCAGTTTAAATCCTGCCCTTAAACATCCTGACGCCCTATAGGTCAATTTAAACCCCACCCCTAGCATCTGGACACCCCACAGGTCAGTTTGTGCTGACCCAGTAGCAGGTTGAAGTCATGTGACTGAGTTTCAGGTGTGTTTGCGTCGGCAGGGACGATAAGAAGGATGGACTGAAGTTCTACACCGACCCGTCGTACTTCTTCAATCTGTGGAAGGAAAAGATGCTTCAGGCCACCGAGAACAAACGCAAAGAGAAGCGACGGCAGAAGGTTCCTCGATCCGACTGCATGTTTGTGTTACTGTGGCTGTGGATCATTTTCTAACCGGTTCTGTGTTTGTCTGCAGGAACAGAAACATGTGGAGGAATCTTCAGGACGGGAGGTGAAGAAGGTGAGATCTTGGTACAGAACCGCTGAGTGACGCAGCATATAGAAGTGAAGGCAAAGCTTTGGATTCATCTGTTGACCTGTCTGCAGCTTTCTGTGGTTGTTTTAAGGAACCGTCCCAGTAGAACCTCTTTCAGGGTCGTTTCCAGAGGAGAAAAAGCTCCTACTCCAGTGTAGGAACTTCTCTGGATGTCATGGCCCAGCTGTAGTCTGCAGTCTCCTTTCCAGCATCACATTAGGTTCTCCATATTCTAACAGAACAAACCTCCGTTACTCTGGTTCCTGCAGTAACTGCTTGTTTTAAAGTCTGGACCCTACAACGTAAACAGAAAGAATCTCGTAAATGTTCTTGTAAACGTTCCTGTCAAACGTTCCTGTCAAACGTTCCTGTAAACGCTCCAGTAACTGTTCCTGTAAAACGTTCCTGTCAACGTTCCGTCAGTGTGAGGCCACCTGATGTTTAATGTTCTGTCCTTTCATTCCATCGTTGACGTGATGGTCAGGTTTGTTCTTCTTGTTCCTCTGAAGGTCCGTAAAGCTCGGAACAGGCGGCAGGAGTGGAACCTGATGGCCTACGATAAGGAGCTCCGCCCAGACGCCCGAGTCACGCCGTCGCCGTACCACACTTCAGATGGCTCCATGTCACCTGACAGGTAAACATACCTGCACCTTCTTACTCAATGGGTGCCGACCACATGACCTCTGACCGACTCCGCCCACTCAGGTCGGGGATGTCCGATGACCCCTCCTTCCCGACAAGCCCCCACCACGATGACACCCACGGGCATGATGGGAAGGACCATGTCACCATGGCAACCAGTGGAACCGGGCAGACTCAGTCATTGGACCGCGCTCTTCGACCCGCCTCCGCGTCCTCTGCGGTGACTGCTGCAACTGCTCGGCAGCATTCTCTGGGCCGCAACCAGCCACACCATCACCATCATCCGCCTCCTGCCGCCTCAGCCAATCAGAACGGAGCACGTACCCACACTGCCAAGGACCCCAAGTACACACACACACACACACTCACACACACACACATCCATGTTTGGGCGTCCTGCAGCGCCCCCTGTCTGACCTCTGACCTCTCTGTACTCAGTGACCATCAGATCCCTCCGGCCCCCCCTCCCCCACCTCCTCTGATGCCATCAGCAGGACAGATGGCGTTCCCCAACAGCTCCGCCCACAGCGCTGCCATGGCGACACCACTGCACCCTGCTGCTGCTGCCGGTAACCAAGGTAACGGGGGTCAGTTTGTTAGCTTTTGGGAAGCAGTTGGTGGAAATGACACATGTCCTGTCCTCTTGTCTGCCTGCAGGTGGCGCCACCCTCTCTCGCCCCTACAGCCCCTCCCCTCCCCCTCCTCCTCCAGCTAACTACGTCCCCTCCCCCTCCCGCCCCGGAGGACAGGCCCCACCCTCTGCCGTGCCCCCGGCGCCCCCGGCGACGGATGGCAGGAAGCCTCCCGGTGGCCCAAACGTGCCAATAAATGACGCCCGCAGCGACCTGCTGGCTGCCATACGCAGAGGTGAGCCGCCGTTAGCATGCTAGGCTAACAGGTTCAGGATTCCACAGCTAGCATTAGCTTCTTAGCTTCAACTCTCAGAGAAAGTTTGCCTAAAGAGACATCAGGTAGCCATGTGTCCAGCTGGGGGCGCTGTGGCTGTTACAGAACAACAGCTGACGTTGCTTTCAGCTCGTCCTCCTGGATTGTTGGTAAACTTTAATCTGTCCGACATCGACTCCAGAAGTTTCCCAATAAACTGAACTGAGGTCAAATCGCGTTTCTCTAAAAAAGCAGAAGAAGATTTATGATCCCAGAATATGCAGAAACGTTTCTGAGCCACTGGTGAGTTTTCTTCTGAGGGAAGAAGCAGAAGCAGCTGTCCAGCGTCTCAGAGCATCTACAGGAGAACCATGAACACAGCTCTCCTCCATCGGCTTGTTCTCCAGAGTTCTGTCAGTCTGACCTGCGCTAAGCTTTCCATCAAGGCTTAGGGTCACACTGAGGACAGCTGTCCAAAGACAACAAGCCTCTGCAGGTTTCTGGTTCTGACCCGAGTCGTGTGACTGACATGAGCAGCTGGTTCCTCTGATGAGACGATTAACACAGAAACACCTGGTAAACCAACTGCAGCTCATTTTCATCATCGACTCGCTGGTGTCGCGTCTTTTTGTGGCCATTGTGCATCACATCTTGGTAGTTGGTGACTTTGAAGACGATGTGCCTCGCAGCGGGTTTAGACGGTTCTCAGAGTCTCAGAACCAGAGTTTCACGGGGTGCTGTTCTGCTGTGTTGTCTTGCAGGGATCCAGCTGAGGAAGGTTCAGGAGCAGCGCGAGCAGGAAGAGGCCAAGAAACGAGAACCGTCGGGGAACGACGTGGCCACCATCCTGTCGCGACGCATCGCTGTGGAGTACAGCGAATCAGAGGAGGAGTCTGAGCCCGAGGACCAGGAGTGGTCCGACTGAGGAGCAGAACGTCCAGAACATCCAGCTGACAGAGAAAACAGATAATGTTGATTATTACAGTTTAACTTCAGTTACTGGCGAGGAGCGTATCAGTTCTGATCCGGTTCCAGCAGCTCCACAGCAGGAGCCCTTCATCCATGCTCCCTCCTGTAGCGCCCCCCACAGGACAGCCTGCTCCGTCATCGACCTCCATGTGTTTGTGATGAATTATGATATTTGGTGTTCTAAGTGTCCAGCAGGTGGCGCCACATTTGTCCACTGACACGTTAAAACGCAGTTAAACTCGTCACACATCTTCTTTTGGGACAAATCCTGTTTCTGCAGCGACACTTGAGCCCAGTTTATTTTAATTTGTATTTTTATGTCACGAGTTCAGATCAGCTGTTTGTGACATCACAACTTTTTAGCAGAATTGTAAAAGTTGATGGTTGGAGATCAAATCATTTAATGTGCTTTTTATATGTATTCATTTATTTTGCTGCTTAAACATAAAATCTAAAAAGTATTCTATAATCTGTTGGTAGATATATTTTTTATTTAATTATTTATTAGTTAATTTTTGGCTTTATTGATAAATTACACTCAGATTGAGTTTCAGGTTTCACACCTTTCCTTGTGTCATGTTTTTAGGTTGTATTTTCATCTTAACAGATAATAGAGATTGAATGTCTGTTCATAATTTTGCCTGATTATCTTTAAGTATTACTCATTATATCTATTCATTTGATCACTTTTAGTTTTACTTCAATGGGAATATTAAATATAATACCTTTTCATATTTTACTTGATTGTTTAGATTTTTTCTGACATTCTTAAAACTCACATATTATTTATTTTGTTTCATGTCTTGGTTCATTTTAGGTTTTATTTCCATGATGTTAGATTTTTTTATTGTTAAATTTTTTATTTTTATTTTTTTGTGAGATATCATTTGATTTATTTTTTTTTAGAACTTTTCTGTTTTTCTTAAAGTTTTTTGACTTCAGAGTTTGTTCTCTTTATTTCTGATCCAGCTCTGAGCCCTGTGATTGGTCGACAGCCTCTGGCTCATTAGCTGTTGGTTAGTTGCCATGGGAACTGGAGGCGGTTCTTAATGTGACTTCATGAAAGGGGGCGTGTCCCTGCTGTCCTGTACATCTGTGATTGGTTCGTCGATGTTTGCTGTGATTTGCATGTTGGTGATAAAAGCTGTGAAATAAGAACCTTTATTGACAAACGACTTTATTTCTGCTCGGCTCGGTGATGCGGTTTTATTTCTGGTGGCTGCTCAGTTTTCATCCTTCTGCTGACTCATGATTAAAGTCAAAACTCTGACTCAGCATTAAAACCAACCGGCACGTGGAAGTCGATGCTAAAATTAATTACGAAAACTTAATTTCATGAATATTTATTAAAATCATGAGCGGAACTTTATTTAAGCGTTTCTACAATAAAATATTTCGAACTTAACTTCTCGGAGTTCAGAACACTGACACCAGAACCGGAACGTTTTCTATACAATAAACTAGTTTTTATTCTTTTTGCATTTTAACAAAAACAATTATTTTCCAGATTTTCCTTGTTTTGCTGAATTACAAACAATGACACATAAACTCATGCAAACAGTGTGGATCTGACCAGAACCAGACTTTGCTGGACTCGTGTCTCTTCAGGTGAACTAAAGATCGTTGTTTTCCATTAAATTACATGGAAATCATTGGACATTTGATTTCTACACGTTTACAGCATGTAGCCTGAACGGGTTCGAGCTGACGGAACCTCGGTGCCGCTGGAGGCAGCAGAGCCCAGCAGCTGTTCACCCGCCGCAGAAGAAGAAGAGACGCAGCGGCGGAGTCTGGAGCGGGCAGCGAGTCCCGCAGAGTCCAAACCCGTCAGCCCAAAACAAGCGACACGAACCGAGCAGCGCGGCCGGTACACCGTCATTAACCCGGAAACACCGCGCAGCTGCCGACAGACCGTTTTCAGACCGACTGATTTCCTTCTCATTCTAAACGGAACCCGCTCGGTACCAGAGTCCATTCAAAAAACGTGCAAATTAAAGTGTCCTCGTTAGTCGAGAAGTTTCGGTTGATAGACTTTGAAAGAACCTCCGGGACGACACGGTTCGACCCGAAACGTGTAAACTTAAATAAGTCCGGGTGCGTTTGTTTCACAGACATGGCGGTGCAGGTGTGGTGCCTGTCGTTCCGGCAGCCCTACGCCGGCCTGGTTCTGGACGGGGTGAAGACGGTGGAGAGCCGCTGGCGGCCCTTGCTGGCGTCTCTGGAGAACCAGACCCTGGCGGTCCACGTCGCCCGGCGGGACTGGGAGGGGGAGGAATGGCGGGCGGTGCTTGGCGGCCCGCTGGGGATGAACCGAGCACAGATCCAAGCGCTTCTGGAGTCCGGGGAGCGGTTCGGCCGCGGAGTGGTGGCAGGTGGGAACCACAGCCAGCTTTCTGTCTGCAGAGGTTGGTTCTGAAGGGGTCACATGTCTGCGCATCTCTTTCAGGATTGGTGGATGTGGGCGGGACCTGGCTCTGCCCCGCCTCCCTGCAGGGGGAGGAGCTACATCACCTGGAGAGGTCGGCGGTTCTGACCGGTCTGCAGGAGAAACACCTGACTCACCTGTCCAACCCCCGCTGGCTGAAGGAGCCGCTGAGCACAAGGGGAGGTGGTGACCTTTACACCGTGGAGATCCCCGCCCACCTGTTACCATGACAACATGTCAGGTACCACCTGTTACCATGGCAACAGACCCTGCTGCAAAAGTGTCCAATCGCTCAGAGACTGTAGTTTGATAAAAAAGATGATTCGTTGATTAAATGTAAAATAATAAATTGATCTCCGATCAAACAGCTGATTGGTTCATCCAGAAAGTGCAGCCTGTTTCCGCGGCAACAGCTGCGCTCAGGTGTTACCTGACAGTGACCTGCAGGAAGCAAATCAAGAGAAAAGAGTCTCTGCTGCTGAAACAAAACTTTACTCTTTATTCACACAGACACCAAAAACAAACAAACGCAAATACATCCCATAATCGAACGTCAGGGACTGAGCGCGCCCGGTCCGAGGGCTCTGATTGGTTGCCTCACTGCTCATTTAACCAAAAAACAAAAATGTCATTTCTCTCAGACGGCGCTTTGTTTCCACGGCAACAGAGGATGGCATCACTAACCAGCAAATCAATTAACAGGTTCCTTAGCGATTGTCCTCTAAGAAGACAACAAGCAGCCAGCCATGAGCTAACCGCTAATGTGCTAACATGGGAATAAAGAAAAACTAACTTTTGAACCATCATCAACTTTTTTTTAAACCTTCACTTGGTCCTGTAGAAACCTCACACAAGCAGGACATGACTTGGAGATAGGAGGTTTCATCATTCACCACTTTGCGCTGTTAGCACTGTTAGCACTGTGCGTTACATGGTGGGGGGGATGTAGTGGGTCGCTGCGTGGTGAGTGGGTGGGGCAGTGATGTAACCAACCACGTGGGCGGGACTGGGGGCGGGACAGTACACTCGTGGGGCGTGGCCTCCACTGGGGAGAGCCCCCCAGTGGGTGGAGGAGGGTAGGCAGGCGTGATAGGAGGAGTGGTGAGGCAGGTGGGTGGGGTGAGGAGGAGGCGGGGCAGCAGGCAGGTAGGCAGTGTGGGGCGGAGCTTCATATGGGAGGTGCAGCAACGGTGGAGGAGGGTGGAGGGGTGTCTGGTCCGGGTAGAGTAATGTGGTGGAGGGGGCGGAGCCTGCAGGGGCGGGACTGATGGCAGAGGAGGAAGGGCCTTCCACAGAGGGGGCGGAGACTAATGAAGTGGGAGGGACAAACAGAAAAGCAGAGTCAACCAGGCTGCTGTTCGATCGCCTTCAGAGTAAAACGGTAAAATTAATAAATGAATGCAACTGAAGTACACGTTTGTTTTCAGACTGCAAACTACAAAGTTATCATCATTCCACTGATGTTTCCTTTTTATTCAACAGATGAAACCGTTTAACACTGAAGTCATTTATAAAACTAAAAACAATCACTGATCATCCATAGAACATGAGGGGTTGGTTCCTTCATTAAAAAGCAAAAATTAATAAAATTACACCTGATCTGTAAAAATGAGACACTTCCTGTTGTTGTGTCGGCGTCCCCACTGCTGGAAATGAGCTGATTTCACTCTTTAATGAAAACGGATCAGCTCTGTTCACGGATCCTCAGGTAAAGGTGCTTCATCAGGACTCACCTCCGAGTCCCTCCGTCTGTCCGTCTGCTGCCCTGGTGGATTCTGGGTAGGCGGAGGGGGGCTGATGGGAGCCTCGGCTGGTCTCAGGAAAAGACTGAGGGGCAGCTGGGGGCAGAAGAGGAGGGCAGGTGGGGTTTTAACTCCTGACCGCCACCACAGCTGCTGCTGAAGAGACTCAATGTTTTACTGTGAAAGTCCCCATGTTTTATTGTGAAAGCAAACATCTTCATAGTAAAGGCAGAGTAAGTGTTTTATTTGGAAAGTCTGATGAGACAGCTGTAGATCAGACAGCCTCTGATTGGAGCTGAATCAGCCAATCAGAGGCAGTGTGGTCTCACCGTGCAGGGGAGGGTCCTGGCTGCTCAGGTAGGGGGGGTAGTGCTGGTAGGAGGAGTCAGGTGAGGAGGAAGGAAACACCTGCTGCTGCCAGCAGCTCTGGTGGTAGAACTGTGGACAGACGACAGGCAACGGCGCACCTGAGCCACCGACCACGACGACAGCAACAAAAACACCCACAACAACAACAACTTGTGACACGCAGCGCTCACCTGGTGCGTCCCTCATAGCTGCTATGGGTTAAGACTGCTGCAGCCTCCCATGATGCACTGGGCTCCTCTTCAACATCACATAACACTGGTCTGGAGCTACATGCTCTCTGATGGTCTCTCTGCTTTACCCTCACCTGACCTGCTTCTGACTGTGCAGTAACCTGAGCTAAAACTGAAGCGAACACAGACCAACGAGTGACAGCAGCCGGTGCTACAGGTGTGTCTTACCTGGACTCCCAGGTTGAAGTAGTACTGGAGCACCCTGCAGTCTGCACACAGGGACACCAGTCAGAGCACTGATCACACACACACACAGCCAATACAGCAGCGTGACCTCTGACCTCGCGGTAGATCGCTGCCGTTGGGGTCGTAGGAGTAAGGGGGCGGAGCCACCACAGTGCAGAGCGCCTCGCCCAGCTCGCTGACCAACCAGGGAGAGGCAGCGGGGATCGCCATGGCAACTGAGGACAGAAAACACCCGTTAGATGGATCCTCTTCTGTTGATGCTGTCCATCAGCGGGTCAGCAACGGATCTAAACATGAACCTCTAAACCCCAGAACCTGTAGAACCAGAACCTTCCTCCTCCTGGTTCTGATCCTGTAGAATCAGAACCTTCCTCCTCCTGGTTCTGATCCAGTTGAACCAGAACCTTCCTCCTCCTGGTTCTGATCCTCCACCACTGACCCAGCTNCAGCTGGGATAGGCTCCACCCCCTAGTGAAGATTGAGGTGTAGAGATGATGGATGGATCCTCCTTCATGTTCTGGTTCCTCAGAGCTGCAGAGAAACATGAGATGGAACAGAAACACCAGAAACTGCTGCTTAGAGTTCAGAGAGTTCAGAGATCAGCTGTTTGGTCCAGATGACTTTTTGGATCATTGACCTTCAAATATTTCATTTGGTTCTATGGTCTTTACTGAGCTCTGACTATTAATCCAAAATGAATAAATATAGAAATGAAGGGCCTCTGACTCTAAACCTTCTGGTGAAGAACAGCAGCTCTGATGGATGCAAGCTGTAAAACAGCAACAAACATTTTCATGTGTTTGTAAAAATCTTTTGAATGACACAACGACCGACTTTAACCTTTTACATTTTTGGATAAATAAGAACTTTATTTTTTTGCTTGTTAACTAATTAATGTTTGTTCAACGCGACACTTAACGTGAGACTTTTATTGAGGCTGCACAGTTATTTAATATATACATTATATATGTTATTTTATAACTGATTCGTGCAGTTTGAGCCTGAAAGAGTGAAATAAGAAGCTGAAGTCACTTTGTACAGTTTGCTAAATGTTAGACTACACAAACACACTGACCACAAGGTCATTCTGGACTCTTGTTTCCACCACTCCATTAAGTGCATGACAACAAGATAAAGAATCTAATCGACTGATTCAGATATGAACATTTAAAACATGTGATGTGCTGCCTCAACTTAAGACTGTGTCATTTAAAGTTATATTTGGGTTTTAGTTCATTTAAAACTAATTTTAAATTAAACTGCAAGCTGTAGTGTTATTTTTTTTCTGTTGAAACCAAACCTTATTTTCTGTGGATAGAAAGTTTGTGTGAAGCTGAATCTGTTGCTCCAAGTTAGTAAATGTTGCATCGACATGTTTCTGATTCGGAGGAAGAGTTTTAAGATGTTATGTTGGTTGAAACTGCACCTAATTAAACCTCTAAAAGACAAAACCTGCAGCAGGGTTTAAAGTCATGCTGTCTTTAAAACATCCCCAAAATAATATCAGCCAGAAACTGTAAATGCAGAAAGAATCATCACATCTTTAACTCTCTGAC